CCCCCCCCCCGCCCCAGGTGGAGGTCGACGTCTTCCGCCGTGCACAGCGCGTCCGCACGCAGCCGCTGGCCGGCAGCGACAGCTGGACGCACGAGGCGCTGCAGCAGTGGCGGGAGCTGTGCAGCGCGTCGGACTGGCTCGATGCGGCGGCGGAGATCAACCAGCTGGTGCAGACGATGCCGCAGCTGGTGCACCACAAGGATCAGGTGCGTGCTGTCACTCTTTACGCTTGAGACTCAATAAGATGTGCGAAGCGGTGCAAAGAGGGCAGCAGCAAGCAGCGACGCGTCGAAATTGCGTGGAGGTTTGGCGCGCCGGCCAGTTGCAGCGGCGTCTGAGCAGGCGGCGAAGAGAGGCGCGTGCCCGAGCTCAGCAGGCGGGCTCGTGGACCGGCTTATAGCAACAGTGCATGGGGCTGAGCCGCCCGTCCCTCCGCCCGGTCGCCCCCTAGTGGCGCAACCTCCCCTCCGCACCCCAACACACACCCATCCGCCGAACACGCGCCATGTCTTCGCCGTCGACCCCAGGTCCTGTCCGCGCTCCTGTCGCGCCTGCGCCCCTCCGCGGCCCTCAGCCTGCCCGCGCTGCTGGACCTGATAGCGGCGCTGGCGCGGGACCTCCAGGGAGACTTTGTGCCGCTGCTGCCGCGCGTCACCGCCGGGTGCGGGGCCGCGCGCATGCGCGCGCCGCGGCCGCCTCACACGCACGGCGGCGCATGCCCCCGCCCGCTGCTCAGGCCCGGCCGCGCCACCCGCGGCGCCACACACGTCCTGGCGGCAGCGGTGCAGCTGCAGGCAGCTTCTTGAGCTGCAGGCGGCCGAGGACTCTGTTTTGGCCTGTTTCTGCGGCGCCTGGTTTATGGTGCGGGCCAAGCTGGCCGACCCCTGAGCCCGCCTCTGCCCCCCCTACATCCACCTCGTATTGCAGGTATGCCGTCCTGCTCTCTGCCGGCGGCGACCGCGACCCCGACACGCTGCAGGCCCTCTTCTCGTCCCTGGGGTCCATCTACAAGGCAACTGCCCGGCAGCTGCTGCCCCGGCTGCCGGAGGTCCTGAAGCACACGGCCCCCATCCGCTACAGCGAGGCCGACCACGTGCGCGCGCTCGCGGCGGAGACGCTCGGCTTCCTCTTCCGCCAGGCGTCCGACAAGCAGCTCAAGGCGGGCGCGCGCAGCTTGCTGGCGGAGCAAGCGGTGCGGCCGTGTGCCGAGCGCACGCACGGCGCGGGGCTTCTGCTGGCTGAGGCGGTGCTGGGCCCCAGCCACGGGCTGCACAGCCGCGCGCCGGCGGTGCTGCGGCTGCTGCTGCAGGAGGACGTGCTGAAGCCCTCGGATTTCGGGAGCAAGCAGCGGCAGCAGCAGGAAGAGCAGCAGCAGCAGGAACAGCAGGAGCAGCAGCAGGAGCAGGAGGAACAGCAGCAGCAGGAGCGGGGGGAGGACGAACAACAGCAGCAGCACGTCGGAAATGGTGGGCGGCAGGCTAACGGAGTCGAGCCGCGGCAAGACGGGGGCGAGCGGGCGCTCCAGCAAAACGGCGCCAAGAAGCGGGCACCAAAAGGTGGGTTTTCTGGGGTGATAAGCGGCTTGCTCCAGCACCCTTGATCACCTGTCGGCTTGCTGTTGCTTCAAGCGAAGCAGCAGCACGCAAGCTGACGGTGCGTTGCTGCTGTGATGGCAGCAAGTAATGACGCGAGACGACGGCGCACGTTAATGCCCCGTCGATGCCGGCTCGTTGGTGCTGCGGAAAGCGCACCTACGAAGCAGTCCAAGTGCGGACCGCCTTCTTGTCATGGCTTTTGGGCAAGCCCGACGGCGGCATGCCCCACACTGAACCCAGTGCGGGTCCCCAGTGCCCACGAAGTCCTTTGCCTGAAGACCTGCCGCCGCCTCACCCCCTCAGGCCTCTCGCAGGAGGCGCTCCGCGCGCGCGCCGCCGGCGTCGCGCACGTCGCGCTGCAGCGGCTGCTGGAGCACCTGCGCCGCGGCGCCTGCGCGCCGCTGTGGGACGCGCTGCTGTCGACCGCCAGCGAGCGCCTCGCGGCCGCGGACACCGCGGCGGCCGCCACCCAGGCCGGGGATGAAGCGGGGCGTCAGGCGGCAGCGGCCGCGGCGGCCGCCGCAGAGGCGAGCGCGGCGCGCGCGGCGCTGCACCTTGCGCAGGCTGTGGCTTACTACCGGGGCAGCCGGGTGGAGGACTATGGCCAGCTGTTTGCAGCCTGCAAGCGCCTGGTGCAGCGCTTGCAGAGCAGCAGCAGCGACAGCAGCAGTAAGGCTGCCGGCAGCGGCGCCGGCACTGCTGCACCCCTAATTGCGGGCGGCCCCGCGGCGCCCCAGGCGCAGTGGCAGCTCGTGGACGCGGCTGCCGACGTCCCAGACGCGTCCGCGTATGCTGGCGTCCGCCTCCCGGCAGCTTCCCTGCAGCTGCTGCTGGCGGTCGCCCACGGCCACCTGAAAGCGGTCGGCGCGAGCCAGGGCCCGGCCGCGCTCGCGCGCGCGGCGCCCGCGTGGGCGGCGGCGTTCTCTGGCGGCGCGTGCGGCGGCGAGGACGTCCTGCGGTTCGTGCGCGGCCTCGTGTTCCCGCCGGGCGGGGGCTCGGAAGTTGCGGAGGCGTTTGCGCAGCAGCTGCTGGGCGCCCTCGGCCGCCTCATCCTCGCCGAGGGCGGCAGCGGCAGCGGCGGCGCAGCAAGCGTCGGCGCTGGGGGCGTGGCGGACCGCGCGCTGGGACTGCTGGTGGACGCGTGCGGCGTGCTGCGCCCCGGCGCGGCCGCGGGCCAGGGGCTGCCGCTGCTGCTCGCCGCGCGGCCCGGCGGTGCAGAGTTAGCGGCGCACGTGCGCCGCCTGGTGTCCGGCTGGCGGCCGGGCGGCGGCGGTGATGGCGGCGGCGGCGCGCGCACCGAGCTGATGCGCTGCTGGGCGGCCGTGCAGCTGCTGCCGCATGCGTGTGACAAGGCGGCAGACGCGCTGCAGCTGTGCCAAGGCGTGGTGGCTCTGGTGGACGGAGCTTTGGTCGCACTTTTGCCATCTGAGCAACAGCAGCAGCAGCAGCAGCAGCAGCATCAGCAGCAGCAGCAGCAAGAGCAGCAGCAGCGGCAGGCAGAGGGGGACGGCGCGCAGCGGCTCAGCACCGGCCCCTCTGCTGCAGCGGAAGCAGCGGCGGGCGCAAGCGAGGTGGACGATCTCATCCAGCTGCGCGCGGCGGCGAGCGCCACCCTGGCCCGCATCCTGCCGGACTGCGCGCTTGCTGCGCTGCCGGTTGCGGCTGCGGCGGCGCTGCGCCTGGCGGTGCGGCGGCCGCGCGACTTTGCAGCCGTGGACGCGGCGGCGCAGATGCTCGAATCCCTTAGGGAGCTGGTTGGGGCGCAGGAGGACGCAGCTGCCGGCGGCGGCAGCGGCGACAGCGCGGCGACTGCGCTCGAGCGCTTCGGTGGCGACGCCGCGGCGCTCGGCGCCGCGCGCCGCCAGCTGTCGGTTGCTGAGCTGGAGGCCGCCGCACGCGGCCTCGCGCCCGCCCTGTCCGAGCCGTCGCAGTCGCTGCGCGGCGCCGCGCTCCGCGCGCTCTGCGCGTTCGACCAGCCCGCCTACGCCGCCGGCGGCGCGCACGCAGGCTCCGCTGCAGAGGCGCGTGGGCAGGCGCCCGCGTTTGCGGGCGTGCGCTGCGAGGCGCTCGACGCGCTGCAGGACATGCATTGCCAGCGCGCGACGCTGGAGCGCGGCCGCAAGTGGGCCGTCGCGCTGGGGCGGGTGCAGAACCACATTGAGTACGGTCGCATGCCGGCGCCCATCCTAGGGGCCGTGCTAGCTGGGCTGGTCGGCGTGTCCCACATCCGCTTTCAGCCGCTGTGGCAGCCGGCCGCCGACGCGCTGGGTGCGGCCCTCGGGCCGCACCAGGCGGCGGCCTGGCCGCTGGCGCTGGGGCAGCTGCGGCGGACGCAGGCAGCGTTCCTAGCCGGCGGGCGGCCGCAGCGCCGTGCGGCCGCCGCAGCCGCCGCCGAGGAGGCGGCAGATGCTGCCGGCGGCGCAGCAGGCGGCGGTTGGTTGCTTGCGGAGCGGTTTGAGCAGCAGCTGGCGCAGGGTTCTTCTGAGCGCGCGGGCGGCAGCACGAGCGACGGCGAGCGGCTGGGGTGGCTGCTGAAAGCCATGGCCAAGGCGCCGTCCGAGGTTCTGGAGCGCGGCGGCAAGGAGTGGGTGCCTCTGTTCCTTGCTTATGCGGCGGTTGGGCGGAAGCTGAGCGGGGACCACCCAGATGACGAGGATGGCGAGCAGCAGGAGGAGCAGGAGCAGAAAGAGCAGCAGCAGGGGGAGCAGCAGCAAGAGCAGCAGGCGGTGCAGCAGCAGCCGTCGCCGGCGGCGGGTTCCAAGCGCAAGCGCGGCGCTGACGCCGGCGCCGATGCAGGCGGCAGCGGGGCCGGCGGCGGCAGCGCGGTGTATGTCGGCGTGGGCGGCAAGGCGTGGCGGCAGCAGATGCTGGAGTGGCTGGGGCTGCTGGCGGCCGTCAAGGGGGCTCGCAGCCTATTCAGGTGGGAGCCTCGCGTGGCACAGCCGCCCCTACCCCCCCCCCGCCCC